ACCCTGGGCCTCTATTTGGGTTCTTAAGAACCATAATTGTTATAGTGCTGTCTCATAAAATCGATCCTGCGGTTTTGTTGTTGAGGTGCGGTCCTTAGCCCCTGAGCCTCCGATTCAGGTCTGTGGGCTTCAGGGCTTATAATTGATTTAGGTGGTGAGAAGCAGGGCCGGCACAAAGGGAGTGCAATTTTCAACAGCTGACGTCATGGCCGCCATGACACACGTTCTTGCAATGAGCATCTAGCTTTCAATCAATCAAAGCATTGCTGATGTTGCTGCAATTCCACGATCCCAATAGGCCCAACATTGTCGCCATTGCCAATATAGTCTGTGTCTTCAAGGCTGATTTCTCCAGAAAGCGCAACAATAATCTCATTACTTCTTTAACAAATCCCCGACAATCACATTATTTTGGTAGTTTGTGGGCCCTTAAATATGGAAACCAGCGTTAGTAAACGGCCCGTATACTCGGACTCCTAACTGCCCTAAACCCTAAAACCCCGAAACCCCTAAATCACCCAAGCCCAAACCTCTCATTAAACCGTAGACCCGAAAACAGTTAAGCCCCAAGCCGTAAACCCTTCCAAGCAGCAGCTCTTAAAACAGGCCGAGGCTGCTGAGAAGCTGAACATGGCCTTGGCCACCGCAGCCCGTCTTTGAAATGGGAGTTTCCGGGAATACGGGGTGCCTTATTTGGGGGATCCTTATAATGAGAATCCTCCTACTATTTAGGGTACCATCTGAGGGTCCCCTATTTTCGGAGACCCCCAAATCAGAAAATGGCTTTCTTCATGTGGGCAGTTCTTTGGAATGGGGTCCTTTTGTAGGTCCGCAACATAGTACGGCACCCTTGTAAAAAGGACCCTAAAAGGGACCGTGATTTAGACAACTGCCTATATGGCTCTTGTAGGGTTTAGGGTTTAGAACATAAAAGACAGATTCCTTCAGTTGTTTAATGGTTTAGGTTCCAGGGCTTGCGTGATGCACCTTAAGGCCCCTGGGCCAAGACCCTGAACCCCCTAAGCCCTAATGTGTGCCTTCTGTTTTGCTGACGCCCCAGAACCTGAACCCTTGGATCCTACAGCATCGCAGCGGCACAGGACACCAGCGACGTCCTTCCAGCAGGACAGACGGAGGAGCAGGCCTGGCGTCCAGAAACGGTTTCGACTTTTGTTCAAGGGGTGTTCAGGGCTTAAGGCGTCGATGGCAATGGTTGCAACAAAGCGTCTCTAGGAATGTACACAAACGCGATAGGTTTCGGTATGTACTCTGTCTGCTCCGTGTCCTTGTCAGTCTAATCAGTCTGTCTATCTGTCTAACAGGATGTGCGGCACATGCCAATCTAGCTGCTAGGGAAATTGCGGAACATGAGCAGCATACTCAGTATACATAGAGAAGACACAAGTTTAGTGGACATATACGAGTAGCAAAAGGAGAGATAGGGCACTCTCTGCCCAAAGACTTCACAGCCATGTCAGCTATGCCAAGCCGTGCGCACATGCTGGTATTACGGTGGCCCTTCAACTCTGTGTGTGTGTAACCTGGGCACCCTCCCTCCTTCCCAGTTGTCTATCCATTTATCGACGTCAGGAACATGCTGATAATCTATCTGGTTAAGTCCTGTCTAGCCCAAAACGCGCGTTCCACAGGAAGTGCAGATCGGTGAGCAGCGAGACACAGCCGAAAGGCTGCAGAAGTACTTCGAGGAGCCCCGTGCGCGAGAGCAGCCGCACCCCCTCTTGCGGACGTGGCAAACTGTAGGAGCCCGAATAATTAAAGCACTATTCCTCAGGGTTCCTCACTATGGTTGCAGTGTTTGATTTTTTTCTGATCATGAAGGTCCTTCATATTGCTGTAATGCTGACGGCTAAGAGCTTTTGTGGCATCTTGCAGGACAAAATCCTGACCGAGATGGAAGACGTGCCTTCCTCTGCAGTGGCCTTCAGGGTTCCGTGCCATCTCCCTTCGGGAGTGCTTTGCTGCGTCATAGCGGATATCCCGGGGAAGGGGCCTGAATCCTGAATAGGCTCAATAAGATTTACGGGATTGGTTCGTAAGTAGCACCGGCTTGTGGGAAGCATTCAGAGTAATAGAGGGGCTTACATAATTGCCAATATTTTTTGGGGGGGAAGTGCCTCATTATAAGTGTAATATAATGGGCCTCAAAATCCTACTCTAATTAGCAAGGCTCCTATATCATACTCAGCCACATGTTCTTCCCAGTTCTACCCTACCACACCGACAAGGGTAGTTCTCGAAATTGGGGTCCCCCATACAGTACACCACACTCATACAAAGGACCCTAGAAGGGGCCCTAATCTAGAGAACCACCCAGAAAGTCCAAGCCTTTTTTGAAGCTTTGGCCCCTCGAAGATCTCAGGACAAGAACGCCTGGTTCGGCCTGACGTCCCTTGTCTTAGGGAGGAGTTTAGGGCTTAAGGTTGAGAGTTTCGGGTTTCAGGGGTCGGCCTTAGATTTTTCCCGTGTGCTCAGCAGAAGGGTTCTCGTTTGAAATTTTTGCAGGGTCTGAGGGTTTAGGGAGTAGCTGGCAAATGGCGGCACAGCCTGTGGGAGTTGGGGGGCCAAAAGACTTGTGCTTCGAGCTGTTCGGTATGGAAGCTTGAACCTAGAATCTAGAATTTTAGGGTTTAGTGTTTAGGGTTTAGGGTTTAGGGTTCTATATGCCCTGACCCGGGCAGTCGTGTCGCGATGTAGGATGAGTTCAGGAGTGGTGAAGTCACAAGCCATCCGGAGGGGTTTCTCAACCCGGAACCGCCAAACTCCGAAACCCCGAAAACCTAGTTGCCCTAACATAGGGGCGGAAGATACTTAGAATAAGGTTTTGAGGTTTATGATGCTATGATTTTAATAAGGAACCCCCCAAAAAACCTATTCCAATGATTCAGGCCCCTACATTTTAGAACCCCGATAGTAACCCTTATCGTATCCCTTATCCAGGCCCCTAAGGCCCGAGGGATCTCTCGTGGAGGTCCCACAGCCTGCGTTCACCCAAGGCCCCTCGCTGAGCTTTTCAATGGGCGCGCCGCCATGATGGGTCTCTCGTCTGCCTTTAGGGTTTAGAGGGTTTAGGGTCCGAAGCGTAAGGCCTAAGCCCTTGCAGAACCGGCACCAAGCTTTAATCAGAAACCCATCACCCCTTCGCACCCTATGCCTATAAATCCTACCGTTTGGGAACTTGTAAATCCTACCCCATGGGAACCGTATACATGAACTCCTTTGAGGCTTCAGTCTCGGACTATTCACCGAGTGGGCCACCGAGGTGGGTATACCGGGGTTTAGGGTACCGAGGTGGGTGTGGGCCTTCTTTGGGTTTTGGGTCGCGGGGTCCGCGGGGTAGCGGTTCAAGTAGTTTGGGTTGCTTTGGCGTTGGATTGCAAACCTTCAAGGGGTTTACGGGCTTCAGAGGCACCTTAGAACTGCACCCGAAGTCCTTCCCCTAAACCCTAGAGCCCCGTATCCTAGAGTCTCAAATAGTGTAGGAAGAGGGCACATGGGTTGGCCTTCCTCCCTCAAGCAGCATCGACTGTTGCCTTTGGGGGTTGAGGGTTTAGCGCTTTGGGCACTAGGGCTTACGGCGGAGGGGTTTCGGTTTAGGGTTCTGGGGAGCAGAGATTTGGCAAGAATCAGGAGAGTTCTGATAACACTTATACCGACAAGAACGCCAGGCAGGTGAAGCACTAGCCGCCACGATATGTTCAGCATAACCCTAAGCCCTGAACCCCCCTTACGGACGGAGGGCCCTCCTTTTCCATCCGACCTATGCACAGTGTGTTTATGAGGTCGACCTCCAAGGCCGGACAGGGAAGCCGGGCTAGGTTCACGTTTAGGGTTTAGGGTTTAGGACCCTTCATGGTGGTTCTGTAGGGGGGCCCCGGATGTATATAGGGTCCAAATACGTAGCTAGGCATCTCAGGTTCGGGAATCTCCGGACTTGCGTGACGGCTCTAATTCGTAGGGCTGGTGTTCCCCGGTGCTGTTGTTGAACAAGCCCTGCTGGGAGGTCAACGTCGCCAACCAGATTGACCTGATGATTTCGATCTTCTCCCCACAGGGGAACTAGACGCACGCGATGTGCGTGGTGCCCGTCTATGTCATAGCCAATGTCATGGCTTAAGGGCAACGCATACAAGCCATGTAGCTCAGTCTACTGTACTGTTCTCTACGGTCTCCGATGTAGACGGATTCATGATAGCATAGTACTGGCATGTTCAAGCTTCTTAGGTAGCTGCTCATGATGACCTCTCCAAGAAGAGATGAGTCTGTTTCCCAATGAATGGTATGTATACAGCAGTTGTGTAGCACTTACCCCACAAGTTCACAGAACAAAACAAAGAAAACCTGTCGACGGTACTTCAAGAAGAGCATCTTCGTTTGAGATGCCCGTGGGGAGGACACGCGCGCTTTGTTGCCTATAGCCGAAGGCAGCTCCTGGTGCATTTTCCGCCGATGTTTGTAAAGCAGAGTTTAGGGTTTAACTCCTGGCGAAGTGGAAAGCCTGTCGCAAAAAAGAGAGGCTTTATGATATTCAGGGATTCTACAGAGTGTTGTACTTCAAAAAGGGTTCGTCTTTGTGAAGAATGTTTTGGACTGGCGGTACGTGCAGCATGGACTGTTTTCGCATGTCTTCGCCATTTGATCGATGTGATCCAGTTTTCAGAGGAGCTTTTGCCCTCCCAATGCCGACTGCCGTGTCGTCTTGCAGCGAAGACTTGGTAAGGATTAGGTTAGGGCTCAGGGCTTATGGGGCTTCGTTATGGTCATAATGTCAACTGGCTTTTTCGGGCGGTATGGTATGGCAGGCGGCATAGCTGCATCGGCTTCAAAGGTATAACCGCCATAAGCAGTAGAAGATTTGGATCTCTCTTAGGCTAAAAATGAGGCTGAAAGAGAAGCAGCCGGCAGCGACGTCACTCCCTGCAGCATGGTCGCCAGGAGGAGTCTGCAGATTGCCCCCCACCGTGTGCATGTTTGCTTCACTGTAGTTGAATATTGGTGGGTGCACCCCCGGTTTCTCTTTATCTCTATCTTTTGTTGTTGTTTCTCTCTCTCTCTCTCTTTCCATACATATATATATATATATGTACATATAATGAGGAACATGACCCCATGCACATGTACTTATACGTACGTATCAACTTGAGCAGTCGATCCTCATCGAAAGGGCACCCCATTCTCACTGCGGCATGCTAGACCGTTCGAGCCGTCAACTAGAAGCATTGAGGCACGAATAAATCCGAAACTCTGGGAACAACCCTATACCGCCCGACCTCAAGCCCTAAGCCCTTGAGCCCCAAAACCTGGGTTCATGAGTCCGAGAAGATTTCGAGATGCGACGCCCCGACTCCTCCAGTGCCTCCGTGCCGTGCGCAGCAACCCCAGGAAATTGTGGTAAAAGATGCCTCTAGCTCCTCACATTTGAATCCTAAACTCTCTAGCCCTCAAACCCCGAAGCTCTAAACCCCTAACGGCCTAGAATTTAGGGTTCTAAGATCCTGTTTTCCGGAAATCAAAGTCACAGCGCGGCAGGAATCTTTGATGTAAAGAATGCCGGTGTAAGGGCATTGGGGTTCTCTGTGTACTCTTTGAGGAATGTAGGTGTCTGGATTCAGGATTATCGGGCTTTAGCGTTGCCATGGCTATCGTCCTGGACATGGCACGCAGCCGCTAGGATTGGATACTTTTCGCTCTTGGCCGTATGTACCCGCATGAGTTCGCGTCTCCCCTTGCGGGCGAGGTATTATTGGGGTTTGGTCTCGGCTTCACCCTTAGCGGAGTTCGACCCAGACTTTTCCGCGACTCCCTTGCGGGCCATCACAAGGCCCATCCCCCAAACCCTAAACCCTGGATCATGAACTGCTGCAGGCTTGGGGTCTTGTCTTTTTCGATTTCGCCAAGATCGTTTGGAATTTGGGGCTTAGTGCTTGAGGGCGCTTCATGGTAGGGCCAGGCTCAGGGTTTACAGTTTGGAGTTTAGGGTGTACCGAGCTTAGCGCAGTCAATCGCTTCTATGACCTGGGCCGCGCAAATTCTTCCCGAGCCTTTTTCACAATGGATGAGCCAGATCTTCGTCTGAATGTTTCACGCGCGCCGGGTACGAAAGATGAGCGTTGAAATCCCACTTCAAACTAGCATCAGCCAAAACCTCGAGACCCCTGTAGTCCCTGGACCGCCAGACCCCGAACCCTTCAACAGTGGTTTTAGGGTTTAGGGTTGTTTTAACGAGAACAGCGATCGATCTTTACACCAGGCATCAAGACCTGCAAAGAAAGAATCCTGGATTTGCTGCATCCCAGCTCCCGCCTTTGGGGTTCGGCAGGATTGTGATGAGGCCTTTCGAGGGTTTTCCAAGGTGTGGTCGTGGGTTTAGATAAATTGCCTTTTGTATCCTGACTTGTCGGCCCTTTAAAGGCCATTCCATGACAGCCAACGGAAGAAGAGCATCAGGACAGCCGTAATTAGTCAGATCGTACAGCAACAGTGCTAGAAGCAATATGTAACGGCCAGCGAAGCTGTCACTGCAAGTGCGGTTCTAGCTATTTGCTGCTGAAATCTGCTGAATGACTCCACTAGCTTTCGCCCGGCTGCGCGTATTGGTTACCAACGCTACCCAAGAGCATGTCTCGCACAGACCGAGTCCCCCGTGTCGTGGTCCATATGACTCTGGGCAGATTCTCAAAGACTTCAAGAGCTAAGACTGCGGGAGGATGTCCCGAACCCCACCTATATCATCGTAGAAGAGATTCGTGTAGTGGGGGGCTCAAGCGGGACATGTGACATAGCCGACTCAGGAAAGGCTCACATCTGGCACACTTGACCATGTCAACACAAGCATCTCTCCAACTTGCCAGATTCAACATAGGCCGCCGGGTTGGTTTATCTACATCTACATACAGTAGCATCAACTAAGAGGACAAAAAAAGAATATCAGTTTGTGCGCCTTTTGCATGTCACATCAGACCTGTGCGGAATTTCGCAGCAGCTGGGCAAATAAAAGTCTGCACTGCACCGCCTAGGCGCTTGCTCGAATGCCTGATCACTATAACCCTCAGCTAATTTTTGGAACGCAGAGGATTCCTACTTCGTTGTGTGCTCGAACGGCTTCGACACCGCAGAATCCACCAGAATAGAATATTGCCTCTCCTGCATATGTTATAACATCATATCATATACTGTTCGGGGTTTGTCTGTCGCTCTTCCATCGAAAGAGCTACCTCGGGAGGGTGTCGCATATCTAAGAACAACGTCGCACATTCCTGTGCGGATAAGTCCTGAGGAACCTTCAAGTCCGACCTGTCTCTTTCACAACCCTCTCCCAAATGCCTCTAAGGCTTGCCTGGACCCTAGACAACCTACCCTTTTAAGGACTTGCGTGAAGAAATCATAACGAAATAAGGAACCCTAAGAAGGTAGGTTTATTGGGGGCTAGGTAGGGCTGAGGCACCAACCTTAAGCTTTCTGGCCATCTCTCCTCCCCACCTTTGGTCGCCTTGCTAGGCCGCGCCAGTAACTCTGCCGCGCAAGGCACACCGGCCTCAGAGCTCCGTGCTTCACGGCCTCAGAGCGCAAGCCGTTATTAGGGAAAGTTGGGGGGCTGTAGACCTGTAGCCATTGCTTTGGAGTTTATGGTTTCCGACCGTCCGCAGAAGCTAAGACCTGCTGGTACCAATGACTCCCACTACTGCCCGTACTATTGCTATGAAACACTACTAACTACTACTAACTATCAACTTCTCCGACGACTGCTACTGCTACTGCTA